TCCTCATGGATTATGGGGGCTTCACTGTGCTTCCCATCCCTGTCTTCACACTCAGGGGTCTGGGTACCCAGGATACTACTGGATTTCCTACCAAGGACGGAGGCAAAGTAGGCATTAATTACCTCAGCCTTTTCCTCATCCCTAGTCACTAAGTTCCCCCCCCGCCATCTACTAAAGGGTGGAGACTCTCCTTCATCCTCCTCTTGTTGCTCATATATTTATAGAAACTTTTTAAATTTTCTTTAACAGCACTAGCCAGATTTGGCCTGTCTATTTTCTTCCCTGCAGTCTCATGGCAACCTTGTAGTCCTTCTGAGATGCCTGCCTCTTCTTCCAAAGATCATAAACTCTCTTCTTTTTTTTGAGGTCCAGCCAGACCTCTCTGTTCAGCAAGCCCGGTCTTCTTCCTTGATGGCTCGTTTTCCAACACAGCAGGATGGCTTGCTCTTGTGCCTTTACAATTTCCTTCTTGAAGAGTGACCAGCCTTTCTGGACTCCTTTGCCTTTCAGAACTGCCTCCCAAGGAATTCTGCCAACCAAGTCCCTAAACAGGCCAAAGTCTGCCCGCCAGAAGTCCAAAGTGGCAGTTCTGCTAGCCTCACTCCTTGCTTCTCCAAGGATTGAAAACTCTATCATTTCATGATCACTGTGCCCAAGACAGCCTCCAACCATCACATCCCTCACAAGACCTTCTCTGTTCACAAACAGCAGGTCCAGCAGGGCACCTTCCCTTGTCGGTTCCTTCACCAGCTGTGTCAGGAAGTTATCTTCCACACACTGCAGGAACCTCCGGGACTGTTCCCTCTCTGCTGTGTTATACTTCCAGCAGATATCCAGGAAGTTGAAGTTCCACATGAGTACAAGGGGAAGGGAATGTGAGGCTTCTCGCAGCTACCCATAGAATATTTTATCTATCTCTTCATCCTGGTTAGATGGTCTATAACAAAATCCCACCATGATATCTGCCTTGTTGCCCTTCCCCTTGATTCTCACCCATAGGCACTCAACCCTGTTGTCACTATCGCTAATCTCTAGGCAGCCATAGCACTCCCTAACATACATGGCCACCCCACCACCTCTCCTTCCTTGCCTATCCCTTCTGAAGAGCTTATACCCATCAATGGCAGCACTCCAGTTGTGTGACTCATTCCACCAGGTTTCCGTGATAGCTACTATATTGTAGTTATCTGGATGCACAATAGCTTTCAGTTCCTCCTGTTTATTGCCCACGCTGTGTGCATTGGTGTAGATGCTCTTCAGTTGGGCTAATGGCCCTGCCATCTCTTTGCAGGGAAATATGGTGAAATAAAGAAATTATTTTAAATTCATGAGGCAAAACTGGTGGTGTGATATAATATATGCTTATTGCAAGTAGTGCCTATAGATGATGTCAGTAGTCAAGGACATGTGCTGTAATTACCCACGAAATGTAATGGAGGCTAGAGCTGCATTAAAATGTCAGCGAACTGTAAGGTTGCCCCAGTGGTCCAGAGATTTAGGGTTCATATAATCTCAAGCTGGCCAAATAAAAATATTTTTAATCAGTTTAAAAAATGGTAGTAAAGGTTAACCTCTAGAGCTGGTAACAGTATCAGTTACTGCACTCAATTAACTTTCTTAACACCTTGACCTGTCTTCTGCTTGAGTTTTAACTCTATACCATCCTCCTTGGTATATAATAAGCCAGTAGGAATGAAAAGAAAGTTTGGATTACTTCACCTACCCATACAATCATTATTATGAGTTAATTCAAATCCTGGATAACATAGGCAGTTATATGATCCAACTGTGTTTTTACAAGTTCCATTTCCACATGGATGGCGTTCACATTCATCAACATCTGCAAAGACAAACAAAACTATGTGGGAGCTGATTTTCCCAGGTATGTGTTACTGTGTTATGGTACACAGTGAAAATACTCTAAACTTCAGTCTCTCCTTTCGTCTGTCATATTTTCTATTTGTACTATTTTTACAGCTTCTGGATACACATAGGAAAATGTTACTTTACACATTTTTCATATTTATTTAAAAATAAAATATAATGTTACATGCAAAGATAAAAGTAAGTGCATGCGCAGTATCTGAAAGTGTTCTGTCTTTTCATTTTCCAAACTAACATTTCTTAATTTCTTTAGGTACACCTATGATTGAAACTTAGTACAAAGGATTGAACGTCACAGCACTGGAAGTATGTCAAATTTTATGAACATATTTTACTCTTAAGCCCATGAAAACCTATTGAAAATACTCTATAAAGAAGTTTTGTGTCATTGTTCAAAATTCAATTTACATATATAAATATATGATGTCAGTGCTATATCCAGAATTATAAAGACTGCTAACAAACTCTTGAAAGCATGATTTTTAAAAGGCACTAAAATTCAATGTTTCACTGAATGCTTCAAACACACTGCTGTGTGTTTCAGTAATTTCTGAAGTTTCACAGGCATCTGGAAGATATTTAGATCTTGTTCTCTTACTTCTTCTGGACTTCCCGAAACATTTATTTACAGAAGGTGAAAATGTTGCCATATGGATTATTTCCATAACCTGTCACTGTCTAGATCTGTATTTCATGCTATGGAATTTCTAGAATTAGTTTTAGAACTATTTAAGTTACTGTTTTGAGTAATCAAGCTCTCAAAATTTTAAATTGTTAACACAAGTCACTTTCCCAAATATCTTCTTCAGATGGTTTAACAAATGTTAAAAAACCATAGTCCAAATATGAGAAGACTCAAGGTGTATACTAATGTGCAATACAATGTGAATAGGTTTTAAATGTCTGTTTCAAGTTGAAATTGGAACACATCTGTGTTATAGAAGACACTGAACTTCTCTATAGCTTAGAACTGATATTTTGATGATCATTATTTCAAAAATCAAAATAATTTTTGGCTATATTTCTCAATGAGAATAGAATTCAAATATGCATCACCTTTTCTTTTTAAAACTCAGTAGAAGTGATTACAAAACACTAAAAGAACAAGAAAAACATGCTTATTTTGTAATCCTGTTATTTCTTATATAATCTCTACCATGTCATCATTTGAATACAATGTAAGTATAGATTTAAGCTACATGAAACATAGGATTCTGTTTTTTAAAAGAAACCTGAACCCTATACATTTCTAAATAACTGAAAAACCTGTCTTTTTTATCTGCAAACTATCACTTTGTGATAATTGCTACAAACTTCTCTGTCAAATAAGCCACTATGATGTATTTTTATCAAAATACAGTTAATATAGTCTTCAGTAACATGGAACTATCTCTAAGAATAGTGTCATTTTTTTCCCCCTCAAACTTATCTATCCACTCCAAGGACAACTTCACATACCTTATTCACAAAAATCCAAAAATGTATGAATCAGTCTTTTAATGTCACTATAATCTCCTCAAAAACTTAGGGTCACCTCCTCCCCCTTTAAAAAACACAAAACAACATAAAAACCCCCAAAAAACCCCCCACAAAAGTATTTTCTTTCCATACCCATGCACATAGTCTGGTCTTGAGAAGCCTTAAAACCATTGTGACATATGCACTGGTAACTTCCTTGTGTGTCCACACATAAACCATGACTGCAAACATTAGGAATTTCCAGACATTCATTGCGATCTGTAACAAAAATATAAAACAGATGGTACATGTTATTGACTTTTATTATTCATTCATTTTACACAAACATGTTTTACAATCTGTTGTTATTATTAAAACCAGACTCAAAATTATCCATAGCTAAACCTGAATCATAACAAAAATTCATTTCATAGGAACTTCTTGCCTATACACCTCGAGGTCAAAACTACTGCTAGAATTTGATTGATACATTAAGAATGTTCTTTAAAAATTCTCCACTGTCTTTTCTTCCCTTCTACGGAGAAGCAGGGCTATAAAGTAAAAACTGTTACATAAAATGCAAGGTAACAGAAAAGAACCCCTTTTACCCTCCAAGAATCACATACCATTGATTAGGTACAAATATATTCACAAGGACAAGAAAAGTCAACTGATTTCTTACCAACACAGGCACCACTGGGTGAAAGCTTAAAACCAGCAGCACATTCACAGCGGTAACTACCAGGACTGTTGATACACTCTGCATTTCTCTGACAGAGATTGTCTCCACTGCTGCACTCGTCAACATCTGAAATACCAAGAGTCATGATTCAGTCATCAGAAACCATGAGACAGTTACTTCCCCTAGAATTTAGACTGTATTGTCCATCTTTGCATGATAAATCTTTTGTCCTCAGCAAAGCATCAATATTTTGACCTTCAGTCTCCTGTGCCATAAATGCAAATGGAAAGCAAAATCAATACAATTTCACCCATAACACACTTTTTGCATGAAAAAGGAACCTACAAATCCAACTTATTACACATTTAAATGGCTTTGCAATTTTAAATGTCTGCCTAAAGAAATTAGTTTTTGTATTAAAAAATGTTCCTCTTTGTCTTTGACCTGAAATAGTAAGAGTGGCACAGTTTGTTACCTTTTTAATGTGCACATCAGCACAAGACATTTGAATACTAATGACAAAACCAGATTTACTTTAGAACACACAGAACTCCACTATTAGCATCTATGCATCTACCTATAAAACTGTAGAATAACAGACACAAGATGGAAAAAAGAATCAAGGAAACATTTCTTTGAGAAGAATAAGAATTAAATTTCCTCCCAAAAATAAAATAAAAATTATAAAATAGAATAAAATAAAATAAAATAAAAGCATTTTATTTACTTCTTATTTAGAAATCAGTGAATTGATTGACACAAGGCTATTACAAATTTTATTAAGTGGCTGTGAACATATATTAAAGACAAATACATCACAAACTAATTTACAGACTTCAGCCCTACAAAAAAGCTCACAGTCTCTCTCTTAGATTCTGAAAAACATGTGAATTAAATGTTCCATTTAAGATAAGTATGCTTATGGGGCCTAAGTAGAAAAATAATATCATTTCAAATCACCTTCACAGACCAAGACCAGATCATTGTAGCTGAATCCAGTGGGGCATTCACAGCGGAAGCTGCCAATCTGATTGATGCAAACACCATTTGCACAGATTCCTGGGATTTTCTTACATTCATCTATGTCTGAAAGTGAGATGAGCTAGTCAAAGAACAGTACTTCATGGCTTTACATACTGCTTGCATTCTCAATTCCACTGTGCTTAAAACTGAGTGAAGTTCCTTTTAATCTACAGAAACTACAGACAGGATATAGATCTAAAAATATGCCCATTATGAGAGAAAATAAACTATATGAAGTTCAGGAAGTGATCAAAACAGAGTAATACTAAATATAAATTTAAAAATATAAGCAGAAATATTTTACACAGAAATTAGTCTCACAATTTATGTCATTATTGTAATTCCAAAATTAAATTAGAATTTTATTGTATGAAATGCTTATTTTGCAGCTGCAACAACCTTAAGGAAAACAATTTTTAGTTAAAAGAAGTTCAGTGAAACTTACCAACAGCTTTTCCAGTATGAATGTCAAAAGTGAAGCCAGGAATATTCCCGCACATGTTCTTGAATTGAGCTAGAGCAAAACAGAGAACAAGGCATTTTTAGTGAATATTTCTAAATCTCCCAAGAATTACTTGTATTCTTCCCAGCTTTTCAAGAGCCAATACAAGTCAAATCTACTCTTAAAAGCCATTGCTTCCTGTACAAATATATTGAAAATTCAGGCTGCCAATAAATGAATTAAATAGTAATTCATACTTCTCTTTTCTCAAATCTTTGAAGACTTTTGCACATGAGTAAATGTTTGGTTTGAGAAAGCAGCATTTGAGGTTTTGTTTGAAATAGAACTCCTTAACCCACCTTTTAATGTTTACTCTTGCTTTCTAGACATCTGTAGAGCAAATCTGCAGCAACAGTATCAGATAGGAGAAATAAATGTAACTTACTAGTACCTAGCCTTCTTTGACGATACTATCTGTGTTCTTTTCTGAAGAGATCACTGCAGCATTGTTCAACTAAACTGTAGAGCAGAATGGACACTGCTTTAAAAAAAGATGCTTCAAAAACTAAGCATTGTTTTAGAATGCTTATCTGGTATCCTCTTTTCCATCCTAACTATAACTATGTCAAATTTGTAAAATACTGATTTCCAGTAGAATTGTGTACTGAAAGCCCATTTGTTTGAGGAGAGTAAAATAATTCCAGTGTGAAGACAACCAGTTTGGATGAATAGTTTGCTTTAAGTGTGAGTTTGCAAACAGTAATCGTGTAGCTGCTATTCAGCATCTTTTCAGATTATATCAGCATTCAAATTCTCCAGGAAAATTGTAAGTATCTTTCAATATTAAGTCTCCAAACCATTATTAAGGAAAAATTCCAAAGCATGTGGTAGATATTTGTACACTTAGGGCTTTAAGCCAAGGTAAAATATCCTTCTAAAGAACATGGATAAATTTTACAAAAATATTCCATTGACAAACAAAAATTCAAAGTGATTCTGAATGTGTAATAACTGGAAACTTCCCTGAGTGCTTGGTCTACTGTTCATGCTGCTGAGAACCTACAGGAAGCCTGTTATCTGCCCAATGAGAGGAAGCTTATGTCTACCTTTAACTCACCTCTAAACCTGAAATGCACACAAATTATTAGACATCTCATCTAGTACCAGAAAAAGAGAAAGGAGGCCCTTCTGTTTTCCTGTGAGTAATGATCTTTAATCTAGAGTGGAGATAGTTTATTTCTCTACTGGCTGTAGTTTGAGTTTCTTGATCATCTACATTTTAATGGGAGGTCTTCAGTATCTTATAATTTTGTAAAGTTTAACCATTGGGGTTGTAACTTGAATAATTAGTGTCTCACACAAACATTCTTATTTATTAAAGTTCCACCAAATGCAGTTGATCATTGCTCAATATTTTGTGGCAAAATAGTTTTCACACATTCAAACATTCTTTGTTTATTTCCTTTATAAGCCAAGTAGGATCCAGTATATCTGAACTACATACTTTTCTTCTTTCTTCTGTGCTTAATGCCTACTGAGGCTATTCTTGCAGCAGAGGATACTGGGCCATAGAGATCCCTGTCACAGTGTTTTACCATCCAGCAGTTTTCTGCTCTTTTATATTGACAGGTATGATATTTGAGGGTTAGAAAACAGTTCTTTTCTGCAAGGAGCTTTATGCCATTTACTGCTGTCAGTAAACCTGTGAAATACACATACTAGATAAAAGTCTTGTTTTCACTACACTGTCTCCATGGGTGATGATAACTTACTCCTGTGACACCACCTAATACATCAGGTCTGAGCTGATGAAGAAGAGGCTCTGATGGTCGCAGGCCTTCATTCAGTGTTATGCTACCTACATGTTCCATGGATTCAATTTAATAGAGCTTTTCCATTTTTTTTTCAGTTTGTACTGGGTAGAAAAAGAGCATATAATTAGGTAAGGACTGCATGATAATGCATTTATACACAATGACCAATAATCCATACACGAACATGTCAGAGATTCCCTTTCTGAAAGCTTGACTTTGCATCGACAACTTAAAGAATAAATCAAAACCCCATATACTTATTACAATATTATTTATTATTACAAAAAGATCCATCATGTAACAGGAAAAAACACTTGCTGAGGTCAAGCCCTCCTGAAATGATCAAACCCTGAAAGAGTTCTGTAAATGCTTGGTTATCCCTTTGCAATGAGGTGTCTGTTTACACTTTTTTGGGTGAAAAAACAAATCACAGAATCACAGAATCACAG